GTAATCCCTTCCTCACCGCTGGTTGGCTGCTGTTTCACAATCCCCCCAAGGGCGAACGGTTGGCTGACTAAGCAACAGCCTCCCCCGGGATCCAGGAACGCCTCTGATTGGCCGGCCGGGGGCAGGATTCACTTTGGGGCTGGGGCAAATCACATCACACGGTGACAGGCGCCAACTTAATCATCAACAAGTCCCCGACCAGCGACAGCGCGCTCTTGAAAACAAAAAAAACACTGGAACTAGCCTGAGGTTCCTACTGGTTGCTACAGAGCAGCTTTCGCACAGAGAGGGAACTACTAGCGAGATCTGGGGAGTCCTGGATGCAGAACGAGAAACAAGGTCTGGGAAATCGCAAATATGCTAATTTTGAAATGTGAGTGAATAATGACGATTGGGCGGTCTGCCATTCCGGCTGCGCGCCCTAACCAATACCCGAAACATCCCCAGCTTACGCCCCCACCCGCAACGGGTCATTGGTAATCAGCCAGCTCCAGCTCCACAGGGCTCCCAAGGTTCCTAAATTTGTCCGTGTCACTGTGCCTAACTAATTTTTGTGAACTCGCCGTATAATAATGCCCAACGACAACACCATTGTTCCTGGCATGCCTCACGGGGATACCTGAATTATTGTCTTTCTTCTTCTTCTTCTTCTTCTTCTCTTCTCTGATGGGCTCTCAGATAATAATGAAAGAAGAATAGAAATTTAAAAAAAGAAAAACCTAGCAATAAATAATGCGGTTTGTGTCAAATCTGCGCATCGTATACCGCGGCACGGCAAACATGCGCAGCCATATGAATATGAAATTCTTATTTTACCTTTTCCCGCCTCGTATACGCTTCGTATGATTTTGGAAACAAGACAAGCACCCGAAAAAAAAAAAAAAAAAAAAAAGAATAAATAAATAAAATAAAATAAAAAAAAATCCAAGAAACAAAAAAAAAAAAAAAAAAAAAAAAAAGCAAATGATAGAAGAAAAAGAAAAAGGAAAATATTCCCGGAGCTTGAGCGAATTCCGAGGGCGCCGCCCAAACCAAAACAACGGGGCCAACAGCCAACATGTGACTGTTGCTGACTGAAAACAACCCTCTCTCCCCTCTGCTCATTTTCGCTCGCTTGTTCTTACACTCTTGTTGACTTCCCTCATTGGAACCTCGTTGGTTTTTTGACTCTTGATCCTGGAGATATGACCAGATTGAGACCGAGCGCGAAAGCTTGAACAAGATCCCGCACCAGTACCAGGATCTTGTTGCTCAACGACTCCACATTCTGAAATTTTCATTTCTCACGTTTGTTTTGCGTTTTCGTTTCTGCACAAGGAAACTCAGCGCCCGCTCATCAGCTGCATGTAGGTGGTATATATATATACATATATATACTACCTATTATTAATATTTTTTTTACTGCTGATGAATATACCTTGCTTCGCGGTGTTTGATAAGGGATCAAACGGTGAACATATGTACATGCCTCGTGTGGAGCTTATTAGATCTAGTATCGTGTAGTATGTACACACTCCAGCGTGTTTCCTTGCGGGAGAGCTAGTCATCTCCTTACCTAGTAATAGCTACTACATACGGAGGGCCATAGGGAACCGAACCCTCGGTTATAAAGTTCTGTGCCTTTTTTTTTTTTTTTTTCTTTTTCTTTTTAGTTATCCATTTCTCACAGCGAGAGAGAGGTAAAGAGAGGTTTAGCTCTTTCTACTAATTCCCAAATTTGCTGCAATTAACAGGCAGCTGGAAACACATCACCTATATCCAGACTTAGGTTGCATTCATAGCCCATCCGCCTCTTCAGGCCCGCCAGCTGGTAAATCGTCCTTTTGATTGATATACGGTCTATCCCCATTATTTTTACATGACAGCATCTTCCAATTGACTTTACTCCCATTACCTCTCTTTCCTCTTTACTTGTTTTTTTTCTCAGATATATTCCTCACCCTACATTTATTCTGTTTGCACGTTCAAATCGAATCCCCCTGTTTTTCAGTTGCGTGAATTGATTATTCTCTGTTGTCTTCCCTTCTCCTCTCACAAAATTAGACATAGAGACTCAAAACCTGCACATCTTCAAAATATCGACTGGAGATGTTGTGTTTTCAAATTATCATGTCCCATTAGAGAGCGTCAACTCCGGGAGCTTGGTGTGAAGTGGTAGACACATGCTTATGAATGGAAATCATCGTGTCCGTGACTCACCATCCGAGCAAACCGTATCTCAGGGTGACAAACCACCTTGGAATTGAGGTTTGACATTAACCCTCTCCATGACTTTCGCTGTCCTCACAAGTCTCTATATCTGAATTAGAACTATGGGAGATCCCCCTTGTTTTTGCTTTGAATTATGAGTCCACTGCTTCTCTGTGTATCGCGAAGCCATCCCTTGCTGCCACCCCGCGAGGTCTCTGTTAACCTTGGTTGAGATTAGCCAAGGCTATCCCAGTTCCAAGATATCTCTATCCGATACAGGAATACCCGGCATCCTCCCATTTTTTCCGAGTCATCTGTTAGTAGGAACTCGGATGCAGGTGCTGGGTACAAACGAAACTGCCCCTTACTATGCATGTCAAGCGTTTTGATTTGTGGAAACATCTTTAAAAAGCACATGCCACGGGTCATATTGCCTTTCTAGCTTTGGGGGAATTGTATTCTCGGATGAAAATTTGACTTCATTTTTGAGTTGTTTCGTCCACATATACGCTTGTTTTCGTGGCCGTTTCCTTTTCTTTGCCTTTTGCAAACTCTGTTTCAAGATTAGTCTTTATTCCATATCGCAGGTTTTTCAATTATATGATTCGGTTATCATTTCCATAGAGAGAATTGGTGTTAGCTATTACGTCAACCTCAGACCCAGGGGTCCGATGTTTTCTTTTCGCGTATCACACTGGAAGTAGTTGATTTAGATGCAGCATGCTCTGCATATAGAGCCAATCTCACATATATATATATATATTAAATCCATCAGTAGAATATAAAATAGGGAAATGTATCATGCAGAGAAAATAGAGACAGGGAAACAATGACAGTAAAGTGATAAACTTAAGAAAGGATGAATATACTGAAAATGCCGAAAAGGCGACACACTTAGCTTCCAATTAGAAACAAACCGGTGGGATGGGTGACTAACTTTCCAAATCTTCACTAGGATCATATGCTTTTGTCTTATCCCTGACAAACAACCCCTTGATATCGAGCGGATCCAGAATCTTCTGCGAGAGCAGCCGTGAATCTTGCAGCGCCCCTTCGATTGCTTCATTCTCTCTCTCCTGTCCATCGAGCCCCACATATATGCGGGAGTCAATGGGGAGAATGTGGCCAGGATGGAATATATTAAACATGGCGGTGTTAAGAAACATTATAAGCGCCTCACATATGAGAAAAGGTGCCTCTGTCGTGCGAAAAGTGTGACCCTCCGGAACAAATGTCTCTGGAGGTAACAAGATGTCAGCCTGGAAAGATTATTGCCCAAGTGTTCAAGATAAAGAAAATACCTGCAATATGGTAGGCAGATCGTATAATTATCAATATTGACGAAATATAAAGACAATACACGACCGTCATGAGCTTTCTTTTCGTACCACCATTCGAAGAAACGAGCCACTTTGCACGAAGTGCACGCATCCTAGCATGGAACAATGTCAAAACACCCACAAAGGAGGCGAACAAGACTGCCTGGGTAATCACGGCAACCCGTATCAAATTTAGCCCAATCTTATAACGTGTTACCGCGTCGGTGCCTGCCCCGGCAAGCAACCCGGCGCCGGCCCAGACACAAATTTCAGCCAGGAGATCAAATGCAATGAAGGTACGGACGACCCTGATTGGAGACATCGGCGCGACAGATGGAACAAAGCTAAAAAGGCGTCCACAGATAAAATAGTCGGCCCCAGCATAAGTCGGCCCCGCACCAAGGATGAACATGGTGGAGAAGATGTAAAGGGATTTGGTGTTTCCCAAGCCAAAAGCAAGGAGTGAGCGCTGAAAAAACCCAATTGCCGAAAACACGGCTCCCAGCGTCAATGGGATCGTGAATTTTTGGGGCCTTGATGTTCTGAGGAGAGATGGGAATGAGATAAAGCCCAAAGACTGTGACGCGTCGGTGGGGATGGCCTCACCTATACTGCCACTCGTGCAAAGCCGCTGAAAGGGCATAGGCCACCGTGAATAAGATGGCAGCGCTCCTGTTTGGAGAGTAATGGTAGACATCTTAGAATGCTGATTTTAGTCCTCTGTGTCTCAGTTACCAGGTGGGTGTAAGCATTTTACCTTCAGCTCTAAGCTCCGATGACATGGCTGTTAAGCAAATATTATTGCGGTTTTCAAAAATAAAAAATAAAAATAAAAATAAAAAATGCATATAAGGATCTCACAATACTAAATGATATGCCATTGCCAGAGGTTGTCTCCTGTCATTTATATACCGTTCTGTCCAAGGTCGGCTCTGCTCTCACGGTCAACCCCCTGCATCAGAGCATGCTGCGTCCATTCTTTTGCCGCGTCCATTCTTTTGCCAGATAATGGCCGCTGCTGGGAGAGGAACCCAAGGCCTACTCAGCATGTTTCGCCGGCGAGAAGATGCTGATGCTACTATTCCAGCACAGTTTTGCTGCTTTGGTATCCCCAGTCCCGCCTTGAACATAGGATAAAAGTCAGCGCTGGAGTAGCTCGATACCCGATTAGGAGATAAGTGTGGCCAAAATCCGCCCAGAGACGTCCCCCATCTTGGGCTCAGCCACAATTGCCCAGCCATCTACAAGGCAAAGGCAAACCTTTCTTGAAAAGATGAGATTCTCCAGAATGTAACACAAAGTACGAGTTGTATGTACAATGCTTTGATCCAAGGAACAAAATGATGATAGTGTATTATTAAACCCCCTATTTGCGAGAGAAACTCATAGGTTGTCAAAAAATACCCACAATGGGTTAGTTGAACTTCCGTCTGCTAAGTTATGTCTGGCAAAGTGAAGTCAAGCACATGGGAAAATGAGAACAACTGTAAATACTTTTCTTCTAGACATTATAATTGCTTTTTGCGTCTGCAACGTAGCTTCTAATCCCAAACGTTTTTGCAATGGGTAGCTGGGCGAAGTAATATAGGACACCAAAGGAAACATGGTAGCTACGTGCTGGTTTCCACCAGCGTAGTAGATATACCCTCGATAAGCACCCGATAATCAAAGAAAAAACTAACGTGCTACAACTTTACTATTTCTTAACCTTTAAGCTTTCTAGGCCGACCTTTTAACCCCTTTCCTCTTCTTCAGGTAACAACTGTTCTCACCTCATTACTCAGAGTGTACCAGAAAAATACCGAGACCGTCGCTACCAGTACGGGGACGCTTTCATCGTAGGGATGTGGTCATCAGTGATGGCTCCATTCCAAACTTCCGCAACCTCTTTTCCACTCAACTGATCTGCAAGCCCGGCGGATGCATAGTGGAAGTTAAATGCTGACTCTGTAGCACGGAATGAAATCTTGAGCATTTCGCAAATCAAGCTTGTCACTGCACCGATAGATGATGATCATGCTTGAAGGTTCTCACATCGTTCATACAATATCTCGAATCATCATAGGAGATTAAAAGGGAAGAGCAAAGAACCAGAGGTTAGCTGACAGTGCTGGCGTTGGAGCTGAAGTGACTGAAGTTGTTGAAGTAGTGGGAGACGACATCTCAATAATTTCAGAGCTGGCTAGATGTGATGTTGCACTTTCAGGAGCAGAGGTGACTTGATAGGCTGTTTTAGGGGCACAGGTGGCTGGATAGGAGTTTGCGCTGCCTTCAGTGGCAGAGGTTGGTTGCAGGAGTGGCTGCGCTGCTCTCGGATATACTCTCAGTGGCTGAGGTGGATGTTTCAGGGGTTGGGGTCACTGGAGAGGACGTCTCAGTAGTTGAAATGATGGGAAGGCTGTTAAAGTGGTCGAAGTGGTGGGGGAGGACATCTCAGTAGTTAAAGTGACGGAAGATAGGTCATTGAAGGGGTCAAGGTGAATGTTTCGGGGTTGAAGTCACCAGAGAAAATGTATCCGTGGTTGAAGAAAAAACCTCCCTTTGAGATATGTAAGTCCAACCACCTTTAGTTTTCATCGCATATATCAACAAATACCTCGGTAGGTTGACTGGGGCCCAAATACGTCAAACCTCTGGAAGGCTTCTTGCGCCTTGCCTTGTGCAGGAACATGATCAGATAAATATACGTAACCACATAACCGACACACGAAAAATCCTCCCTGGACTGGAAAGGCATGAAACCTCAATGGATGAGATCACATCCTTCTCCTCCTCATTGGACTCATCCAGTCTAACGAATTCAATAGTGTTTGTGCCATTATATGTGCACGCAGAAGATAAACGCAGCTTACACGGGTGTGCCGAGCACAATTCAACTGGAAACGCATCAACCAGGTACAACCCTAAGTGATGATGGAAGAAGTTGGAAGAAACATATTGGCACCCAACTGGCTGAATTCGTAAAGTAGGTTCCATGAAGTGATTTGGGAACTTTTGTGGTTTTTGGAGGTTTGTTGAATTCTGAATGCCTCATTGTCGGGGTCGCTGGAAACGCGGTCCACACTGACAGACTGTCCATGTTCCAAACAAACAGTTGGCCGGTCTTCCAAGGATGAGAAGAAACCTTGGTGTCTGAACAAAACTGACTTGATGCCTTTGAAACTAGCGTTCAAGGAAGGAATCCCGACATACCCCAGAACATTTCATCCGTCAAATACCTGACAAAAGAACACAAAGGCGGAAATTTCTGTGGTTATAAAAAATAATAAAGAATGAGCTTTGACTATGAACGGACGAGGATGGTTGGAACGTATTGTAGACCGCAACCACTGTGTCCTTTGATGATCTGCCTGCTCTGTGGGTAAACTTAAAGTCACATCTCCGATATTCGTGCTCCAGTTTATTAATATCATCCTCGGGAGCGTGGGCCGTGGACAGAGCAGCTCGTTCCACTTACCGTCAATACCCATTAACAAAGATTGATCATTGCAACATCCGCACTCTGGTGCCTCTTCCAGGATCACTGCTGATTTTGAAATGTGCTCTTTCGTCCTGCCCTTACAAAACTGCGTCATGTAAAGTGGTCTTTGCATCCATGCTTTCGGCTACTTAGGAAACCCACCTGTAGTTGTCGAAAGGTTGATATCAGATGAGAATAACACAACAGGAGAGGAGCCCTACCTATAATCAGTCCTAACATATGGCTCATGGAAACACTCATATAACTGAAAGATTCTCACGAAAGTTGGTACAGTGACCTCCATGTGACGACTTGTCATTTCCAAATCTAAAGAACGAGGTTTCTCTACTGTCAAACAACTAGCTACATCATTGAGAAGGCGATCTCCGTAATCATAGGGCACTGTGCAACGCAAGTTCCATATGGCACTATGCCCCACTCCGGAAGACTTTATTTGAACATGTTGCAGGCTGTGATGGAGTCCGAATCGATATCATGGAAGGTACCTTAGTAGAACTGGCGGTGTCGTCAAATGTCCAGCGCCGGGTCTCTATCACGTGAGAGAACCGCCGTGCCCGTAGAATACGGCACAAACGCTGAGTTCTGATTTTGCACGACCATCCACTTTTACCTCAAGTTCCCCAGACGCTTCAATCCATCTTGGAACCACTCCTACATCTTCCACACCTGAGCCTCCCGTGGGCCTCCATAACTCCATTCTCAAAATGGCAAATCTGGATTTCAAACCCCATTCTCCGTATTACGAGGGACGCTACAACGTACGGTACCGTATAGACAAGTAATACAGTATAGGTATAGTACATGTATTATACCGTATAAGAACGTATTTACCTCTAATCTTATCAATCGGTCTTATCAGATGGGATCCTAGTGCCGCATATCCTTGTACATGTATGGTATTGTCACAACAGAGAATTACATCGCACTTCCCGGCCAGAAAAAGCAGCCAGAAACACAAACCAGGATCACAGCTCACTCACGTCACTGGCGGACACTGCTCCGCACCTAAGGAAATCTCTCTTTTGGAGAAGTCATATTAAAATGGCCTTGCCACGCCAGTTGCTCTCCTTTTCGTGTTTGAAGTCTTTGTTCCACCTCTACCCGACTTCCCAGCCCGATTTCTCACTCCCCTCACCATGAAGTCGACTATTCTCTCCAAGTTGCAAACCTTTGCACCTGTGGTTGAGAAGCAACCCGTCACCAATGGAGAGGATAAAGAAGTGGGAGCTTCTCCTGAAGATCAAGAAATCTCCAGCGATGAGGAGACCATTTCCTCGGACGCCCAGGAGGGTGTACGCAAGATTGAGGCTACGACAAAGGTTTGGAGCACACAACATCTTATCTTCGCATATGTCATGTATGTTGTCCATTCCATTAGCTCAATCCACCGTTATTCGTAGCTAGAACATGGCTGACATCATCCTTCAGGATATGGATTATCACATTCGTCGACACAATGCAGCAGGGAATGTCCAATTCCTTCCTTCCTTATGTCACCAGCAGTTTTAAACACCATTCATTGACTGCCTCAACCGGTATTATGTCGAGCATCATCGGGGGTCTAGTGAAGCTACCACTCGCCAAGGTCCTTGATATCTGGGGTCGACCTCAAGGCTTCGCCTTGATGACCTTCACACTGGTTATCGGTCTTATCATGATGGCTGGATGTAACAACGTCCAGACCTATGCCGCTGCCCAAGTCTTCTACTGGGTCGGGTACGCTGCTCTTTGAAGACTTTTTTCTTTTTCCTTCTTTTCTTTCTCGTTTCCTCAAGTGAAAAACTAATTGGTATTGCGTCTCTTGTCAGGTATAACGGAATGTCTTACACGTTGGGCATTTTCATTGCTGATACATCTGCGTTGAAAAATCGAGCCCTTATGTTTGCATTTATCTCGTCACCCTATATCGCCACTGTCTGGGTTGGTGGACCACTTGCGACAGCCTTCCTGAATGGTCCTGGATTCCGATGGGGATATGGTGCTTTCTCCATCATTACCCCTATCGTCACCTTTCCCTTGTACGCAGTGTTCACCTGGAACTACAACAAGGCCAAAAAGGCCGGCTTGCTGCCTTCCAGAGAGAACAACCGTACTTTTGCTCAGTCATTCAAACACTACTTTTACGAGTTTGATGTTATTGGAATCATCCTCCTAGCTGGAGGATTGGCTCTGTTCCTTCTCCCATTTAGTCTCTATTCGTACCAGAAGGACCGGTGGCGGTCATCCATGATCATATCCATGATTATTTTGGGCGGCCTCCTCATCATCGCCTTTGCCTTGTACGAGAAATATCTCGCCCCTGTCTCCTTCATACCTTTTAACCTCCTGGTTGATCGAACTGTCCTGGGTGCCTGTATTCTCGCCGCAAGTTTATTCGTCAGCTTTTACATTTGGGACAGTTTCTTCCCTTCCTTCCTTCAAGTCGTCAACGACTTGACAATTACAGAGGCTAGCTATGTTGTCAACATCTACAGCATTGGCTCTTGCTTCTGGTCCATCGTTGTGGGCATCTTAATCCGATGGAGTGGACGCTTTAAATGGCTTGCTCTCTATTTCGGTGTCCCTTTGACTATTCTCGGTGTCGGTCTCATGATAAATTTCCGCCAGCCAGACGTGAATATCGGGTATATCATTATGTGCCAGATTTTCATTGCCTTTGCTGGAGGTACTTTGGTTATCTGCGAACAGATGGCAGTTATGGCCGCCACTTCGCATCAGTACGTTGCTGTTGTTCTTGCAATTGAAGGCATGTTCGCCAGCGTTGGTGGCGCCATCGGTCAAACGGTTGCCGCCGCGATCTGGACTGGGGTGTTTCCCAAGAGATTAGCGGGGTACTTACCCGAGGCGGAAAAGGCCAACGCCACCCTCATATACGGCGACTTGGTGGTGCAAAAGTCGTATCCAGTTGGAAGCCCTGCAAGGAATGCCATCAGCAAGGCGTACGGCGATGGGCAAAAATTTATGCTCATCGGCGGTACGGCAGTTTTGGCTATCTCCCTTGTCTCCACCATGGTATGGAGAGATATCAAAGTCAAGGACTTCAAGCAGGTCAAGGGCCGTGTCGTTTAGTGCGGCCAGCTTTCCTCTCTCCAATTGAACGGGTGCAGCGGGGGTTATCATCAGAGCGCGAGAAAATGCAATTTGGTCTCCATGGACTCTTCTCTGGTTACTTGGTCTAGAGGTCTAGCTACACTGGGATGATTGAGGAGATTGGTAAGGATTGGACGAGCAACTAAACGCGTGGTCAATTTCAATCAGGCGTAAACACGGTGATTCCGTATTTCTCGTTTTCGGCTTTGTCGTTTATTGCTACGCATAATAATCATGTCCTTTCCGGGTTCTGCGATCCCTCTTTTTCACACATACCCAGTGTCGGATAGCTTATTTTACTTTGTTTTGATATTTTAACAAGTCTTCAGAGGTAGCATCCCAAAAAATCAATTAGTTGTAATAATACCGAAATACGGAGAGCACTGCATTAGGATCCTGAGTTCAATTATTGTTTCGTTCAAATTTTGGTGCTGAAATTTGGAAGTGCAGGGCCGAGGCGCGTTTCCTTGAAGAAAAATTCATACAGTTCGCGAGGTGGATTCGTTCATAATATTATGTTGTGGCTGTTCCTGGGGAATCATAATCTATCTGGATTGAGAACAATGCAGCCCAGTTATGGATGATGAATCCCCTATTTCCGAACAACCAAACAACCAAATAATGGTCCGTCCCCCATTTTGTTCTCCACTCCTCAGTTTTTACATTTTTACCCTCATTTCTACTGATCCTGCAGTCTCTTTAACGCGATCATAACCTCAGTCTGCGATGCCTATTTTACCTCCTTCAACGGCGACATGATCCTCGACATCCGTTACCCGAGGAGAATAAATAAAAAGCTACGCACAACACATACAGTTAGCACTCTCCAGTGGTGGCACATTGTCACAGTCTAGCATACGTTTAAATGTGTAAACACAGATACAGGAAAGATTGTCGGCATGGAGGTTTGGGATGCATATTGGTCGTGAGAAAACGGCTAGAAGGAGGCAGAAGGGCTTCTTGAGGTTCAGTGGCAGTTGAGGGAAAAGTGGTTAGATGGAATGAGACATATCTGTGCATAGTTATTTTTGGGGGGTGCCGAAGTGTTCCATTTACTGCTTGATTGCTAACTACTAACTAAATTGACTTACTATGAGACTGCTTTGTTCTGGTCGTTGCACATGGAACACCAGGGTCGCGGAGTCGGCAAACTTCTGATGGACATGAGTGAGAAGGTTGCAGCTAGTTAGTTACCAGTGTAACCACCTCGAGTCGACGCTGGCTGGGCTTCCATCTTACACAAAGTTTGGGTTCGAAAAGTTGGCGCAAGGAGTGGTGTTGAAACCCGACGTGAGAGAAGTCCCATCATTCTTCAAGGATTGCTGGTTAACTGAAATTTACAAACTTTCTGACAGTCATGCGCTGGTTCAGCCATCATGCCGCCGGCTGTGAAAAACTTTCCGTTAAGGTGCGAAGGTGGAGGCTGACTATTATTAGTATTATTATTAGTTATTATTTTTCAAGATCAAGAGAAGTTCCTATTATTTCTCGCATATGCACGGATCATTGTACTCTGTACCTGCTTTGATCAAGTGGAAGTGTGAGCAGCCAAAAAAGAACTAAACTATTCACAGATGCCACATCAAAACTCCCCCCACCCCCCACATTTAGAGCGCGCGACATTTCCCGGTCTTCAACGAAAAGGGTGGAGGGAGACCAAGGGCAACAGAAGGTTAAAAACACTGACTGGTTCGTTCCCACTCAGCAAAGAGTTTTCCTGACACTAAAACGTCGCCGAAACTTAGTGTGTTTTAAAGTTATCAGATCCGTCGGACAAAACCTTGTTTTACGGATCTGATAACAACGTGGTCATAACCAATACACGAACTATTACAGTAATATTACGCATTACACAGTATACATATACAATACCCAGGTCCATACATACCAGGTGTGTGTGTGTGTATTACCAGCCACGCCGAAACCGGTTCCTGTTCCTGGCATGTTGACCTGGGCATTCCTCGCTTTGTTGCCGGCTGGGCAGTCAAACAAGGTGATGACTTGCATATACTTGAAACTGCATTTGTTAAATGATACCTAGGTACACAAATACCTACCTAGGTCCTTAGCGTTTAGCTATATAATTCATGTCTCATCAAAATACCTACCTGACTACCTGGGTAGGTATCATTTTCATTACCTCATTGAGCAACTGTGCATTCTAGAGTGAAATTCACCGCTGTCGATAATGTGGATAGACATATTCCTCTGCACTTTGGACCAGACTTCCTAATCATGGCAACCACTTTTCCGCAATTCGAATATGCACCGCAGAAGACATCATGGCTGAAGCGCGATGTGCTGCTCTTTGCAAACACCATTGGTTGCCAGCCGAATAGGGAGCTTCATTTCCTCTATGTACGTACGCCGATTTTCTGTCCTTCTCCGCCGATAAATAGAACTATGTAGATAAATAGATCGTTAATTGGAGCAATTAGGAACTACATCCTAACTTCCAAACTTTCCCTACATATCCCATCGTGCTAAGTACGTGGTTCTCTTTCCGGCGAGATATTATATTTCCATATTCATAGTCGTACCAGCTTTTAAACACACGGACATTGACACTGTTGACTTCCTCGCGCGGAATGCATCACGCGCTCTGCCTCCGGGCTGCCCAAGGCTAGACTGGGGCGTAGCCGTCGACGGTGGACGCGGGATGACATTCTTGCGACCTTTGCCTCCATCAAGCGAGGGGAGAACTTGGGAGATCCATTCTAAAGTGCTAAATGTCTTTGATAAGGGGCCAGGAAAAGGAACAGTATTGGAGATTGAGCATGCTCTGAAGCAGAAGGAGAGCGGGGAGGCGTATACTCGCTCTTGGGAAAGTGTGTTATTTAAAGGGACTGGAGGTTGGGGTGGGGAGCGGGGTGAGTCGATTAATCAGTGTTCTACTCTTATTTTATTTTATGGATTGTATGGATGTCCTCCCCCGGGGGGGGGGGGGGGGGGGGGGGC